AAAAAAAAAAAAAAAAAAAGAAAGAATGAAAAGAAAAAGCAAGGAGAGTATTTGGGAGGAGGGATTCATGACAATGTGTCTTTCACTGCTAATTTTTTTTAAGTCATTCACCATAGTTTTGATCCCCCTTGTCTTACGCCACAAATTTCTTCCCCTTTGCGGGGAGTAGTGCTGGAGCTCCAATCCAGAGCCTCACACAGGCTAGGCAAATGCTCCACCATTGAGCTACAGCCCCAGCACTCCCTCTTGCTTTTTATTTTGAGACAGGGTTTCACGTGTATTGCCCAGGCTGGCCTTGAACTTGTGTTCTTCCTGCCTCTCAGCCTCTGGAGCAACTGGGCTTACGACCAGGCACGACTACTCCCTGACAGGTTACTCATTAAACACAGTGAAAGCAAAAAAGAGGAACCTGGCAGATCAGAGTCAATGTCACAAACAACAGGAAAACTGGCAACACAGAGGCCTGGAGGCGGACACAGTGGCCTGAGACACATGACACCTGGCCACAGCATCCCCAACAGAATCTGTGACCTCCGTGTATCACATGTCCCACAAGACTAAACAGACTGTGCATATTCTGCAGAGACAACTGCCCAGCTCTCCAGAGGGTGTCCAAGTCACTGGGCTGTCCTTGTTCCAGGACAGAGCTCAGGGTCACAATGAGGGGATGCAATCCAAGGTCCAGTGCTGGACCCCGGAGCCTGGCCTAATCCTAGGAAACACTTAGGGTGAAGGTGTGTCCCTTCTGCAGCTTTTCCTCCAATGAACAAGTAAGTCACAGCAGGCAGACTGGGGGAAAACAGTGAAAGGCTGTAACTATGGTCATGTGAGCTGGTCTGTAACCAGCAGAGGGCGTCTGCAGTGACCGCAGAGCCATGTGAGGTCAGTGTGTAACTAACCAATCCAGGGAGGGCACGTAGAACAGATGGACAAAACACTAGCTAACCCTAGAGTAGTCAAGGAGAAGCAAGGAGTGGCTGTGACAAGCCATGAGGGGATGTGTTTGCTCCTAAGTAGCCCCGAGATTACATTACATTACATGTAAATGGGCAATGTGTGCCCACTAAAAGGCAAAGACTAACAGTTCACAGTGGCTTTTTAAAAACCCCCCTGTGAGTGAGACCCCTCTTAAAAGGTAAGAAAACAGGAAGAGAGAAAAGCACGCCATGCAAGACCCAATCCCAAGGAATGCTGGTGCTGCTCTGAACGCAAAGTAGATTTTGCAAGAGCTGCCCGTGGTAGAAAGGGACATTCCATAGTACTGCAGGGCCTCAGTGACAGCACTCAGCGGTACTCAAGCCGGAGGCTCTCAACCTCACTGCATAGAAACTGCTGAGACCCAGTGAGGACACAGGTGTGTCCCAGAGCCATGCTCCAGCCGCCTGCGATGCCACCAACACAGGTGGCACACGGAGAGCCGTGATCCAAGCCTGGAGGCCGCAGCCTGGGACTCAGCACCTGCCCCTTGCTGATGGGCATCTGGGAAGAAACTGGACCACAACTGGGGCCTGCAGGGGCCAATGCCACACCCAGCGAAGGTGGCCTGGCTCCTGCACCCGGCAGTGGATGCTCAGCAGGGAAACTGAGGCTGCCTGGCATCTGCCCGTGGCTGAGGCTGGGCATTTCCCGCCAGCTGCACACAGAACTCTTGTGCCCCACTGGGTAGGCACAGAGACCTACGTCAAAGCTAGCACTGGTAGAGGGGTCTGGGCTCTGCAGAAGCTCAGAGCAGTCAGGGAAGAGGAGGCCTGAGCTCGGCCCTGATCCAGATCTGACACCTGTGGGGCCTGGGGCTACGGTAAACATCAGGAGCCTCAGTTTCCTTCCATGACACTGGCCTTCGGGGCGGCTCTGAGGATGAGGGAGACCCTGGTCAGAGGGTACCTGGTACAGGCCCGGCTCTGGCCCTGCCTCCTGGACACCCAGCAGTCTCTGCGGGCTCCAGGGCACTCACCCGTCCGTTCGTCTCGCCCTTCCACCAGCCCTGGTCCCCGCCAATGCGGCTGTAGATCTTCACCACGTCGCCTTCCCGCAGCGAGAGTTCTCGCATGTCCCGTGCAGCGAAGTTGTACCTGGCCACCGCGGTGCCGACGACGCGGGGCGTGAACACTGAGGGGGAGGGGCGGCGTTACACAGCTGCGGGGCCCAACCGAGTCGGGGCCTTGGGCCGAGCGGGGTCCTCCCGCGCCTGGTGCCCCGCTCTGCGCCCACAGAGGAGGATGTGGGGTGGCCCTCACTGTGCTGTGGGTCTGGACACACGGCGTGGCCGGGTCCTCACACCGGCACCGGGCAGGCCCAGGCTCTGACCACTACGGCCCCTGCGTCCGCCCATCCCAGAGCCCCGAACCACACGGGAGGCCTGGAGCCGGCTCAGCCCGAACCCAGGAGTGCTGAGGGAGAGGACGATGACGGGACACAGCCACTGCGGAGAGGCTCGGCCACACGGTCAGGCCTCACCCAGACCCCGTCCTCCCTCCACACATCGTGGTGCCCACGCGTCCCGCCACCAGAGGCAAAGCTGATGAGCCACGAGCGGGAAGCGGCCGGCGGGTGTCGGGC